TTTGATCATTCGACGATAGAGGGCGCTTATATCTAATCTGGAAAACATTGGTTATTGCTGTTTATTTAGATTCAATCGGTAAAGCTATGATAGCTATNGATTTNAGGTTTATAGATGGCTTATTTATGGAAAAAATTAAGATGTTAATCGAATTTGCAAAGACAGTCGAATTGGCGTTTATTGCATATGAAATTTTGTTGTGCCGAAAAAAAAGTTGATGAAAATTTCAAAATGGATGCGACGCGTCATTTCGAAATGTGTAATTGTAAATCGAATTTGCGGCACAAATTAATAATAATACAGAACGGGGAATTACGGCAATCAGTAGATGAGGTTAAATATTGTGTTAATGCACTAACCTTTGTTAATTGCGGCGGCGGATGAATGGATAATGTTGAATTTTCTTGGGAGACGCAGGTCGACGATGCGATTCGCGGTCCACGCACAACAAACGACTGCGTGCATTTCCATGGTGATCCGATCGGGAGATGCGTCTCGGCCAATCAGCGCCACGCATTTTTAACTGCAGGTGTTCAACAATCTGCAACAAAAAAAACAGAATTCTAGAAAAACAAAACCCACTGCACAAACAAAGAGATAAAACTTGCAGCTGTGAATAAATTATAAACGTATTCTGATAAGAAATAGAAATTACATTAGATTTATAAATCAAAAAAACAGAATTCTCGGAAAACAAAAAGAGATAAAATTTGCAGCTGCGAATAAATTATAAACGTATTCCGATAAGAAATAGAAATTACATTAGATTTATAAATCATAATGCATTTTATTATTAACATTTTTAAATAATTTTGTGTAATTTCATAGGAAGCCATGAGAAAACAATATAATACGAAATATTATTATTAAATTGCCATCTTTCTGGTCTCGAACACGCCATTTTCGTATAGGTTTATTTAAATTTAATTACTCACGGTTAATTGGTATCGATCGAATTGGATTGAGTTTTCTGCTGATGAAATTCTCAAAGTACATGACGATTCACTACATTTCTCATGATTTACACAACTTTATGAACATTCAAAACGCTAACGCATCTCGGCGCAATGAAAATCAAACTTTGACCCCCCTTCCAAGCCAACGCAAGGACTCATACCAACCGATTCGATTCAAAATGTAATCCAATTTTAATACATATTTATCAAGATTTTGTTGTTATTAAGTTTAACGCAAGTGCGTGCGAAGAATTGGCAATAACAAAAAACAAAGCGTCATTTCGAATTGCGTCTCATTTTACAAACGAATTTACGACTTAATTAATTATAAATTTCGCAAAGTTTATTTACTCACGATTAAATGCGATCGTATTGGATCGAGTTCTCTGGTCCATACACGAAGATTCACTACATCTCTCTAGATATACACAACTTTATGAACATTCAAAACAATCGAACGGTTGACTGAACTTGCTCACGCCGGCGTAGTAAGAAATACCAACCGATTCAAATGAAATACTCGATTTGACATCAGACGTTAAAATTCATAATTGCAGATTGTACACTAATTGAAATTACAATAATTATTTCATATTTAGTAAACGCTTAATAAAAAAATATCATTTTATAATTATTGCAGTGATAATAAAATGCATTGTAAAATTTGTGATTTACTTTTTTTACTGTAAGCGCGTGCATATTGGGTGGCCTACATTAATAACTGTATATAAAATATAGATGATTTATTAATGATCGATTTTCCTAATATTTCAAATTGATAAAATGAAGTAATTATAATTCGATATTCGTTTCATCAACTTGTTAAATAGTAAGGAAAAGATATTGTTTATTTATATAATACCGAAATTGCTTTCAACTTAATATTAGTGAAATTAAATTCCACAAAGTATTGCTTAATATATTTACAAAAAAAGGTCGTGAGGTAAAATAGTAAGGAGCAGTAAAAAAAAGAAAATGTATTTAGTTGATTCACGTAACTCTGACTATGGGTCAATTTCTCCCAAGAAGACTTGCTTATCGCTAGATCCGGACGCGATGATCGGTTCGTTGGGATGGAATACTACGTCATTAACGCTTCCGTTATGACCGGGTAGTTTGTACAGGATCCTCCTGGACGTCGTGTCCCAAACGTAAACGAATCTATCTGCAGAGCCTGCACTCACTTTCGTTCCATCGGACGACCAACTGCATCGTAGCAGATTCTTCTCGAAGTTATGCTGATGACCTGCAAATAAAATCAGAACAAAGTCATCAAACTTACATCCTTTCAAAACGTTGAATTTTGTAGAGAAGCACACCGACCTGCGAACACTTTCACGCAGCGCTCCTGCGGTGCGTAGGGTCGCACATCCCAAATCCTTAAACTGTTGTCCATCCCATTCGAGAGGAGATACGAACCGTCGGGGCTCAACGTTAAACCCGTGATTGTATCCGTGTGACCTCTCATTGTGTATAGAAGCTCGTTCTTCCTCACATCCCACACTTTGATATCATTGTCAATACCACCGCTAAACACCTGCTCCGCTGTATCATTGAAAGCAACTGAAGTCACCTGAAACAACATACAAAATAAACATTTTTCCAATACATAATTTCCAAACACTATACCTGATATGAATTATCAATGGATGAAATGAAATTTTTCTTCCTCGTATCCCACAACTTCACTGTGGCATCATCGCTTCCCGAAACGATCGTCTGCGGTCCTCTCCTCGCCACATTGAGGCAGTTCACAAATGTCGTGTGCCCTTTGTACTTTTTCATCCTCTGCCCTGTGCATATATCCCAAAGCCCCAAAGTGCTGTCCGTACTCGCCGTGTAAATATTAGCCCCGTCAGTCGAGAATTTCAACTGAAGGACTGCACCTGTATGTCCACTCATCATCGACACATTCTCACATTCTCCATACACCGACCACATAACTGCAACATAACATTTAGAGTATTGTCATTTAAAAAAACTCACAAATTAAATACTCACAAATTCTGCGGTCAAAACCTGAGGAAGCCAAGTACTGTCCCTCGGGATGAAAGTCCATCGTGAATATATCACCCTCGTGTCCCTCGAGCAGCATGATTGGGGCGAACAAATTGGATGTTCGCGTAATTTGCTGTAATAAAAATAACAAATGAATTCAATCGAACAAATGAAATCAATCAAAAAAATTGAGGTTATGTTCACTCACGGTTTGCAATTGTTTATTTTTATTGCTGGAAACGGCGATTTCTGTGCGGGATTTCTTCTGGACCGGCACCAGGGCCGATTCCTCTGCCTTCCTCTTGCTCTCCACGACCATCTCGCACCGTTTTCACTTTGATTATGGGTAAAAATATTCAGTACGGATTTATACTAATTGCACAGACACACAAACATTTGTTTATATGGCGGCCATTTACATTTACGTGTAAGTTGGGTTGCCCGCATCGGATGTTCGTTGTGTTTTTGTTGTTTTTGCCAGGCAAGGTTGATTTTTTTCGATGGCGGAGAGTTTTTAATCGTTCGACGATGACTTGCAAGTTTTCGGATGGAAAAGGTCGACGCTGTGGCGCACTTTCCTGTAGATAGTGGAAACGTACATGGAGAAAATGCCGCACGAGAGTAGAAAGGATGCACGGAAAAATCTGGTACGTTTATTTTAACCTTATTTATCATCATCATTATTATTGTCTGTGAGTTTGTTTTAGGCTCCGTTATCGCCCAGTCCCATACTCGATATATCCGATGACGAGTTGGTGACGATCTCCGTGAGAGATCTGAACAGACAGCTGAAGCTGAGGGGGCTCACGAGGGACGATATCGTTCGCATGAAGCAGCGTCGCAGGACGTTGAAGAATCGCGGTTACGCAGCCTCCTGCCGGATCAAGAGGATAGAGCAGAAGGACGAGCTGGAGACGGAGAAGACGCAGGAGTGGCGTGACATGGAGATGATGCGAGACGACAACAATCGCGTCAGGGAGGAAGTCAACTTGCTTCGGGCGAGATACGAGGCGCTGAAGAAGTTCGCTCTGGCCCACGAAATTGCCGTTCCGCATGAACTGGAAACACTGTAGTGCAGATAAACGACTCAATTGGACTCAATACGTTTTTTTATATCAACACTTTTATTAACTCCGAGACGACCTTAACGTTAACGCTGTTGCCGAGCAGATTGAACATTTGCTTTTTGGTGGTGGACGCTGGAAACGCAAAAGTCTCCGGGAAGGCCATCAGCCTGCACACTTCACGCGGTGTAAAGAACCGCATCTTCAAACTCAACAAGTCTTTCGATTCTGCATTGTAAACTTCAGCGGTTTCCGCCTCACTCTTTGGACAATAAACTGAACCAGTTCCTTCTATATACCTCCCATAAGCCTTGGTGAAGCAGCATGATCTTGTGGAATGTCCATAGCAGATATCCAATATGTTGCCTCGTTTATTCAGCACTTTCTCACTCAATCGATACTCCTCAACAACATCTCCATTCTCCAACACATCCACAATCTCAAATGGTTTGGGAAAACTTTCGTATTTAAATAATTCCATCTAAAAATAAATAAATTAAATCAATTTGTTGTTTAATTTTTTAAATTTACCATAGGTCCACAAGTGAATTTATCGGGGCACCTTGAGGCCAAACAGTAATACCTGTGCCTCGTATTGGGGATACCGAACTGCGTGGGTGACAACATGAACTCCTGGTAATTGAATCCAGCTGCCTGCAATGCTTCAATCAGTCGTTCTCTCATCTCCGAGCACTCAAACCCCTTGACATTCTCAATAAGGATACTCTTAACTTTAAGCTCGGGTAAGATTTGCAGGATGTGCGTGAAAGAACACGTCCTCGCATCGTCGACATCTTTCTGCAATCCGTTCCTAGTGAACGGTTGGCATGGTGGAGACATCAGGATTGTGTCCACTTCGAGACTGTTTATGAACTTCGGTGTTAGGCTCTGAATGTTTCTGTTCAGGAGATTCGTTTCAGGGAAATTGTATCCGTACACATGATTTGCCACTGTGTTTATATCGACTGAGGCAATCACTTCTCCGGGCAATTTACTGGCTGCAAAATAAGATGTTTTAATAATAATAACCTTAAATGTGTGCGAAGCAAATTGATTTCACCTTGCAACGCCAAATGCATTCCACCGATTCCGCTGTACAATTCCAATACTTTCATTATGATCACCAATGACTTCCAATTCTACAATGAATGAAATGTTGTAATTCACACAAACACACACACTGTTTACACAATTTTAAATGTGCGGAGAGAAACATTGAAGTTGGCCACGAAACGTGCGTTATTTAAAATTGAAAACATAGAATAAAATACAATTTCATAATTTTATTTCATAAAAGGATAATAATATATTTATTTCTATTTGGAATTCGAGAAAGGTAACGTTTTTGAAACGTTTAGAAATTGAGATTGTTGTAATTATTGGAAGGTGGCTTGTGTGATTAATACTCTGGTAGTCCAGGTAACGGGAATTTCTCGCTGAAGCTTTGCACTTCGGCCTTGAGTGCGGCAACGTTCGCTTTAACTGTTTCATCCTCGTGGACGATCTTCTTGAAGTCGACGAGTTTGGCGGCCTTAATGTCCTTGGCCAGTTTCAGACCTCTGTCGATGAAGTCGACCACCTGGTCGATGTCCTTCTCGAGGAAGCCGCGAGTCGTCAACGCCGGAGTGCCCAGTCTGAAACCGGATGGGTTCATGGCACTCTTGTCTCCGGGCACGGTGTTCTTGTTGCAGGCGATGTTGATCTCCTCGAGGATGTACTCGGCCCTGGAGCCGGGCAGACCGAAGTCGCGCAGATCGACGAGCAACATGTGGACGTCGGTGCCGCCGGTGGAGATGTTGTATCCCTTCGATTGAAGACCGGCGGCGAGACGACGGGAATTCGCAACGACCTGCTTCTGGTACTCGACGAATTCCGGAGTCTTGGCCTGCTTGAAAGCCGTCGCCATGGCAGCGATCGTGTTGTTATGGGGACCGCCTTGGAGACCGGGGAACACCGCTTGGTTGATGCGCGACTCCAGATCGTACATGACCTTATCGCCCTTGGCGTTCACGGATCTGAGACCCTTCCTGAAGAAGATGACGCCGGCCCTGGGACCGCGCAAGCTCTTGTGCGTTGTCGTGCTGACGACGTCGCTGTACTCGAACGGAGATGGAGTGACGCCGGCGGCGACGAGACCGGAGATGTGCGCCATGTCGGAGAAGAGGTAAGCGCCGACGTTGTCCGCGATCTCGCGGAACTTCTTGTAGTCGAGGGCGCGAGAGTAACAGCTGACTCCGGCGACGATGACTTTGGGCTTGAAGAGGACGGCGGACTTGGCGAGCGCCTCGTAATCGATCAGACCGGACTTGGGGTCCACCTTGTAGGGCATCGACTCGAAGAAGATGGAAGTCGCTGAGATCCTCTTCGTCGGCGTCATGAAGCCGTGGGTGAGATGACCACCGTCCGGAAGGTCCAAACCCATGATGCGACCGTGCGGTTCGATCAGACCGGTGTAGACGGCGAAATTGGCCGGAGATCCGGAGTACGGTTGCACGTTGACACCCCACATCTCCGGATCCAGATTGTACGCCTCCAAAGCCCTCTTCTGCGCCAAAATCTCCACCTGGTCAATGAATTCGTTTCCACCATAGTACCTTTGAAAAACAAAAAAATCTAATTAGAATCACCAAAACCAGTATCATCATCATCATTACCTCTGTCCAGGCAAACCCTCAGAATACTTGTTGTGGAGGCAAGAGCTCAAGCATTGAAGCACCGGCAGAGAGGTAAAATTCTCTGAAGCGATCAACTCCAAACTTCCCTGCTGTCTCTTCTTCTCATTCTTCATCATGTCGTAGAGCTCTGGATCAGAGTCCCAGACATTCCTGTCCAACAGTTCCTTGGCGTATCCATTCATCCTGGCGATTGGGGCGGTGAACGCTTTGCGACCCTGCACAATCCAATCAAACGAATACAATTGGTCGCATCACAAGAAAGTCATTCAATTTGCTTAAGATACCTTAACTAAACAACGAAATAAAGTTGTACTGCGTATTAAGCCGGGCATTTTAGGTTAAAGCGAAGAAAAAAGAACTTACTCAGCAGCAGCAACAACAAGGGCATGCAACCTGCACGAAAGAGAGCGAAACACGAAGTGCATACTTTTCATTTAATTAGCCAATAATGGTATGTGCGTGTGTGCAACAACAGATAGACGCGCTTCATTAATTGACCGCAAACAGAGAAGAAAAGCGTTTTCGATAAGATAACAGAGTGAGAGCGTTCATGACGATGAAGTGGGCTGAAGAGAGGAAGAGATCAATAATTAAAACACTTACTGATGCTTACGAAAACGTGCTCTATTTTCTATGGCAACCGTTGCTATTGCTACCGTTGCTTTATCGTACCGGTTTTTAAAGCTTGTTTTTTTT